TAACGTTTATGAATAGCGATATGAATTGACGCTTTTAGAACAGCTGTTGAGTAAGCGCTTTTCAAACTGTAAAACCTCTTCCAGCATGTCGCCACATGAAGCCAACATGGTAACTCACCTTGGAGCAGTTTTTTTGGGACTGTCAGAATAGATTAGAAACATTGCTGTTCAAGTATTTGCGTACAAAATCTAGTTCGTCTTTCGCAATTAGTCGAATGGTTTTTTATTTTCAACTCTTGGAATGATGTGTTTGTACGTGTGTTTGATTGATGAACTTACATGACTTAATCTTCCTGGTCTCTGTAAAAGGATAATAACTGAAAAATGTTCCTCTGTCGTTGGATCCAAGAAAGAAATAGCGTTACATAGATTTTGGCGCTTCATTTACACAAACATCATCGGCCCCGATCAAAGTAGTGCACACATTTTGAACAGACTAACAGAGATGAACCTGAAAAGTGCTCTGCTTTTAATCTCGCAATATGCATGTGTGTTAGTTCCGAGAAAATTTCGTGCGGAATAACAAAGCCTGTAATTTGCGCTACAGATTTGCAGGGTGTATTTTCTATGCGCGGTGAGTTGCGGGGAACATTCGACGTTCATTTCTTTATCACTTCCTGTAAATTCAACATCCTGTAACTGAAGCAAAACAGCTTTCTGCATATGTGCCAGTTACCTAGCGGGACACGTTCCACTCATAGTTAGGCTCCAGAAATCTGTCGGACCATGTCGAGTTAAGCGTAAACCCCGAACGCCAAATCGTTCAAATGGAGGTTTATCTATAAATGCGGTACTATAGATACAAAGCCAGCATGGCCTTCCCTATTCCACCAACTCAATCCATCGCATGCAAGAAAGAGATTCAATAGCTGAATTTGACTTTGAGGAGAACGCCAGGAAGACGGTGTTCAAGTATTGATTGCGACGCCCTTGTCCAGAGGATTGTATAAATCTGGTTGGCGACTTCGGGAAAACTCCAAAAGCGACATTTTCATGGCTTCAAATTTGGGCATACCCATTATAAGGGAGGCTTCGCTAGTCTCTGACGCTGGAAGGGCGACGTCATCAGCCATTTCTTCAACAGACAGTGCTTCCTCACCGGTTAGTAAATTCTTCGTGTTACTCTTGGCGAATACCGTCATCACCGCTATATATTTCATCTGTTCCACAGAATATGAAGGTTCATCCCATACCATCTTCAAGGTGCGAGAATCCGAGTTAGATTTGGTGTCAACTGAGGTTTGTGAGGTCCTGCGTGGTTAGGTGAATTTGACTTTCCGTCATCAGACAGAAACATGCAGTTCAGTGTGATGTACTATAAATTCAATAGGCGTGACCATCGATGTATTATGGACGCTTCAACTCATTTTATGTCGTACTACCAATAGTCCCATAAAGCTTACATGGCTATATCGGTGCGTTCATCCCAGCCACATTTCCTCTCGCACAAGCACAATAATCGCTTATGCTGAATTAGAAGCGGATCCACGAATTAAAGGGGTTCATAAATTGAAGCGATGCAAGAGACTACGCCACGTTTGTTCGCTAGGCGTCCTGGCAAATTGGATTTGTATCGGAATGATTCAATTTGGATGAACCAGCACAGGCTCAATGTATTGTGCAAACTTATTCAGATTGCCACCAGTGTACCACAGAAAACCTAATGCTGCTTTTTCCTTCCGGGGCAAGCGTATTTGTAAGAACATTTCTTCGACATCTACAGACAAGGCCGATTCGTGAATTCAGAAACGCTGTAAAACGCTGACAATTTCATTTCTATGGTCAGGTCCGGAAAATAAGCAGTCGTTGAGGGAAACAACCTGACTTTTCGCAGCGCGGTCGAAAATTATGCGGAACTTCCCAGGCATTCGATGTTGGAAGGCCGGATGATGCGGAATAAAGCGTAAGCCTCCTGTTGAACTAAATAGCGTCCGAAATACATACCCTTTCCCTTCGAAAGTAGTTAAGGTATCCGTGTAATATCTAAGGTGGTTATCATCCTTGAACAAGCGACCTTTCAATTAACTGAGGCGTTTCACCGTTGCATAAAAGTCAATCTGATTGATCCTACCTGTGATGATGATGTGCTCGCAAACATAGCCAATCGCTCCTTGGTCCAATTCTTACAACGCAACCTTCTGAGTTGAACTCTGCGTTTAAGGTTTAGCGAACGAACAATTGCACAACATAAACCTAAATGGCAGAATGCAAGTCCTGACCCAGAATATGGTCGTCTGCTGGTGATGTCATCCTGTGAACGTGAGCATCCAACTCACCACATCACCATCAAACTCAACGGTCCAGCACAAGGTTAATGGCATTCCACTTAGGCGACACTGGAAACGCGATCGATCCGAACGAGTCGTTTCTTGTATTTTAACCTATGCTCACCAGAACCGACGCAACTACGCTGCTTGACAGCAGCCGAGGCGGTCGCTGGACGCATGCGGNGAATCTGCTTTGGTCATGTGATGCAAATCAACCAACCAAGTCACTCAAACTCCACCTTTGGTGTCTCAACTATTTTGCAATTTCGCCAGCCAATCTTCGCGTTGTATTTGACTTTTACCCCTATTTTAACCATAACACGTACTAATCTGGTGACGGGCTTCCGAGTGCGTTGAGGTTCGCCGTCAAAATATGGAAAAAAATTGAAAAAGTCAAAGGTGCTTACCATGTTCCAAGCGTCCTGGGTTTCCTTTACTTCTTGTTTTATGTGAGCCATGCTCAGTTTAATTGTGTTAAGCACTGCTGTTCATGTTTGCTTCTATGTGGCTTGAAAACAAACCTTGTTACATGCATTTCCATGATACCGTTTTGTCTTAAAAGGGCATTTTCGAAAAGATATTAACCTTGCAAGTTTGCCTATAAACCGAAGACCCTCATATGGTATCAATCAGGACCATTTTCCACGGCCTGCTGCTCCATCGGTTAGAACCTGAAAGTGCCACCATGCTACGGATATATGCACCATTTGACCAGTACAATGTAGCCTTTAAGCGAAATATGATCCCATTTGTGGCGCAAACTACTGATCAGCCTCGAAATGGCTTACATATTCCAAGAAGTATCATTTTAATGGACACCGAGCAAATCCTTAGGGGTGCTTCTTGTTCAGTGGCATCCGTCTGAACCATTGCGTGCCTACCTAGACTGGTCAGTTTCATCTGGGTTTACTACGCACCACTTTGTTTTGACAATTCAAGTGCCTAGAAATTTCACGACTTAAGTTGCTATGTGTTCACATGTAGTGCCATCTGTTATACCAAGGAAACTGATCATCCACGGGCTATCATTTCAGGCTATCAGTAGTTGACTTGCCCTACAGATGGACT